GCGCCTGCTGGCTGGGCTCAGGGAGGCATGGGGTCTGCAGGCTCCGTGGGGAGGCAGGCAGGGCCCCCAGCAGGCCCCTGAGCCCCAGGCTTGCCAGCAAGGGGAGGCCTGCCAGGCAGCAAGGGCTGTCACAGAAATGAAGAAGTGAGCCCTCCGTGGCTGCAAGTGCAGGGACATCAGTGTCCAGTCTGCCACGGGCCCCTTCCCAGATAAGCTTTTTTTTTATGTAATTATGAAATAATGTGTGCTCACTGTAGAAAACTCCAAATCCCCAGAAAGGGTAGAGATGAGAGAACAAAAGTCCCTCCTATCACAACCCTGGGGTGGCCCGCCCAGCACTCTGGAGTGTTCCCCTCCTCCCAGAGCATTTTATGCTGAAACCACAATGTTTACACACCAGGTCTCATATGCTTTCTTCTGCCCAACATTGTAACATAAGTATTTTCCCACCTCTTACAAATCTCTTCCTCCATATCAGTTTTTTGTTATTAATCCTCACCTGAGGATATTTTCTTTCCATTGATTTTTAGAGAGAGTGGAAGGGAGGGGGAGAGACACACAGAGAGAAACATCACATGAGAGAGACACATCGATTGGTTGCCTCCCTCACACTCCCTGACCGGGGCTGGGGATAGAACCTGTAATCAAGGTAGTTGCCCTTGACCGGAATCGAACCCTAAACCCTTCATCTGAAGCTTATGCTCTAATCCAGGGGTCCTCAAACTTTTTAAACAGGGGGCCAGTTCACTGTCCCTCAGACCGTTGGAGGGCCGGACTATAGTTTTAAAAAAAACTATGAACGAATTCCTATGCACACTGCACATATCTTATTTTGAAGTAAAAAAACAAAACGGGAACAAATACAATATTTGTATTTGCATGTGGCCCGAGGGCCGTAGTTTGAGGACCCCTGCTCTAATCACTGAGAAAACCAGCGAGGGCCCTATATATCATTTTAATAGCTATATTAAAATAGCTTATCAGCAATTTCTTTCATTGCTTTCTTATAGTTTACTGTTTTTCATAATTATAAATTTGCAGCGACCCCCTTCTTACCTTACTTCTGTCTGCATTTCATGTTATTAACTTATGGTAATTCCCAGAAATAGAATTCCTGGGTCAAAGGATATCCATGATTTTGAGTTTATTGATACATATTGCCAAGTTGCTTTTCAGAAAAATTTTACCAGTTTACCTTTTATTAGTAGTGATAGGAATGCCTGCCTCATTTCACTATACCTACCAGTGTTGAGTAGAAGCCAACTGTATTCCCAGAACTATTGAGCCAAAGGCACCATAAGTATTTCTGTGCTTGCACCCACCCTCACCCCTCTCTGTCTACCTGACACCACACTCCCAATGTCAGTTTGGCACTTGGACAGACTCTACGGGCCAGCCTCAATGGGTCACTTTTATCTTCACCTGTCCTACTGCCAGGACACCAGGTAGTGCCACCTGCCCCACCCCAGCAGCTATCTAAAGCTGCTGGAAGCCACCAGGGTGTGAATTCTCCCAGGTAGACAGAGCCAATAGTGATCAGATAAAGGGAACCAGAATCCCAGAGTGGTTTGTCCTCGAGTTTTTGAGGGCTTAGATACACATTGGTGAATTAATAGAACAAGAAACGTATCCTAGCCCAGCTGGCATGGCTCAGTGGTTGAGTGTTGACCTATGAACTAGGGGGTCACTGTTCCATTCCCAGTCAGGGCACATGCCCGGGTTGTGGGCTTGTTCCCCAGTAGGGGACATGCAGGAGGCAGCTGATCAATGATTCTCTCTTATCATTGATGTTTCTATCTCTCCCTCTCCATTCCTCCCTGTAAAGAAAGAAAGAAAGAAAGAAAGAAAGAGAGAGAGAGAGAGAGAGAGAGGGAGGGAGGATGGAGAGAAGGAGAAAGATATCCTGTTTCAGGCTCACAGCAGTTGTCAGGAGGAGGCAGTGAGAAAACGTCCACCTATTGGGCATCTGCTGTATTTTGGGCCGTTGACCCCATTTAGCTTGATGTGCCCAGTAACCCCATTAGGTGGGTCCCTGTGTCTTCATTTGGATATAAGGAGACCAAGACTCGAACAGGTGAGATGAGGCTCCCAGCATCACCTGGGATAAGAGGTGGACCTGGGATTTGAACCAGGTGGGTGGGGTGGCGGGGCCCAGTCTCAGATACTCCACATCAAGGCCATTCAGGGCTAGTTTGAGGACAACAGCAACCATGAGTGTCCCCAGAGCCTGTGGGCATCAGTGGACACCTTCTTGTCAAAAGTGAGCAACCACGAGTTGTGGTTCTGGAGTCGTGACTGGGGCCCTGGACGAACTGGAAACACCCACCATCACCGTCCTGGTCAGGAACATTCCCAGCAAAGTTTGCCTGGGGGCCCAGAATAGAGAGTTCTGGCCTAAAAAGGAAAACTATTCCGTTACATGAGAACTAGAGAGAGGGTTAAATGAAAATGTTTTTCACAGTTATTTCGGGCCCTTAGTCAGTACTATGTTCTTTTGACAGAAGACTGTGCTCTGAAGGGATTCTTTTATCACAGACTTGCTGACAGAGCTCACAATATTTATTGACTGTTTCAGCTGTCACTTCTGTATAAATAAACAGGATGAAGAGGCCCGGCTGTACGTTGGAGCTATTTTTAGAAGGGGGTGGCTTTGCAGACTGGAAGGATAATATTTCAGGGAGAGAGTGCCTTATCCTAGAATATCCCCCACAGCACAGGCTCAGCCTCCGC